TGACACTGGCGACAGCCCTGTTTCCCCTAAGGCACATTGTACGTAAAGCCCACGGGGTCCTGGCTATGCTGTGTGAGATCAAAATACATGGTGAATGATTACCCTAAAAAATTATTACAGTAAAAGACACATGACCACGAATCCCCCTCAAAGCTTTGCCCCCTCCCTTTGAACACACGTGTCCCACCATTCTGGCCACTTCTGCAGCAGCTCTGGGTTCCTCTTTCCTGAGTGTCCTTACGAGGTGTGATCAGAAATATGGTGAATGCTGCTGCCGAGCGCCATCCCATGGAAAGGCAGCTCGTGAAAACATGACGCTGGGTCCTCATCCACCTTAGCCACTGGATCGGGCACTGTGGCTTCTGGGGCTCTTCCCCAGAGTCAAAGTGACCGTGAGAGAGAAATGGTTTGAATCCATTCAGGACATCAAGGCAGCCAGGACGGCGCAACTAAAGACGCTCAGGAGAGAGGACTCCAGAGCTGCTGCAGAAAGTGGCGAGGCCCATGGGACGAGTGTGCTTGAAGCAAGGGGGGATTCTGAGGGGATTCGTGGCAATGTGTCTTAATGTAATACATTTTAAATTTAAACATTCACCGTCCTTTTCGATACCCCCGCGTCGGAGCAGAGAGTACTATGTGTTCATTTTAAAGTGGAGGTTTTGAGTCTCCTCCTCAGGTTGGCTTGGGCCCCCGTTCTTGTCCACTGCCTCTGTTGAGTGTCACTTCTTGTTTTCGGCCCTGTTTTGGGTCAAGACTCCTTTGGCTATGAACATAGAAATGCAGTTTGGAATTAGCTGACAGGAATCAGTGGCTTCCGATTACTGGGCTTCTTCAGGCTGAGCTGGGCCTGGCTCCTCAAACCACTTCTCTGTTCTTGTCTGTCTTCCCCGGGACCGCTCAGCTCGCCTCCCCACATGGGCTCTGTCCTCACGCAGGCTTGTTCCACCTTGAGCACAGGTCGGGCTGTGATCGGAACGTGTCCCCCAGAGTCTGTGTTGAGCTGAGCCCCGTGCTGAGGTGTCCGGCGCAGCCCTCATGGAAGTGCGTGCTGATGGTCTGTGCCCTCGAGAGTGGATCATGCTGTTGTCACAGGACCTCCTGGGGGAGAGCACGGGTTGTCCCCTTCCTCCTGGGGCTCCCTCTGCCCCCCTGTCTCCCTCTCGCTTCCACCAGGAGGCCCCTGCCACATGCTGGCTCCTCCACCTGGGACTTTCCAGCCTCTAGGACTGAAAGGAACTAAATCCTGCTCATCCCAGATTAATTCCTCAACCAGAGGCATCTGTCACAGCAGCACCAGGGACCGAGATGGGTGGCTCCCATTTCACCAGCTTCACACTGTGGAGAGACAGGGAGGTACCCGTTTCTGAGCCCTTCCAGCCAGTGTCTCGAGGAAGCCCCCTGTAAAGAGGTCCCTGGTTGGTAAATGCTTCTTATTTATTCTGAGGGCTTTTTATATATTAAGGCTATCCATCGGGCGCATCTTTCTTTCCCATATTTTTGCTTAGTTTGTCTCTGTGAGTTTGGTTGCCAATTCTTCCTAGGGCCCGAGTGCTGCCTGGGAGTCCTGCCCTGCCGTAGTACCCAGGCTCGGCCCGAGGTTGTGCAATCTAAGCGTTTCATCAGCCACATTCCCAGGCAGGAATCGAGCCATTGGGGAAGAGCAGCCAGCAGGCTCAGAGGAGCTTACCATTGCCCGCACATGCATCACAGGCAAACGCCGCAGCTCACAAACCACCGCCACCCTCATAAAGGACGGGCGGCTGATGAAGGTCCTTGTGTCAGGCAGTGAAGGGACGGACAGCCAGGCTCCTGCTGCAGGGAGTTCCAAGTCCTCTCTGGATCTCAAAACTGAGATAAGGATTGACTCTGACCTCCTTCACCTTGCCATCGGGCGTGAACACAAGGCAAACAGTGGCCAGCCCCTCCCGGAGGCCGGCAGCCTGTGTGGGCAAGGAGAGGACTGAGGTGGCAGGAGGGCCACAGGCGGGAGCAGCAGGGACCAGAGGTGGCTGGGGCTGGCTCCTTGCCCCCCAGTACACAGGCCTGGCCCCTCTCCCACGTCGCCTCTCCAAGGGGCAGATTCTGGGACTCCCTCTCTACCACCCCCTGACATCTCTGTTGCCACCCGTTTTTCTCCTTGTTTTGGTTTTTGTTTTTTGAGACAGGATCTTGCTATGTAGTCCTTGGTGGCCTTGAGCTTGTGGAGATCCTCCTGCCTCAGCCTTCTAACTGCTGGGATCACAGGTGTGCGCCACCACACCCAGTTTGCTTTTCTCTTTTCAAGGTCAGGACACCAAGTGTGCTGCCAGGTTTAAATTCCCAGGGAACAGAGTAAGGGAGGGGGGTGGTGGCTCTGGGCTAGGGCCCGGAAGGACCTGTTCCTTTCTGCCCAGCACCCGGCAGGCTGTGGGAGCAGCAGAGGGGACCCCGGAGCTGGTGTGGCGAGTTCTGCCCAGACCTGCCTGGCCTTGGGAGGACGTGTTCCTCGGGGTGTAGCCACTCAGGCTGCAGGAGCTGACTCCGTGCCTCCCAGGCAGGAGGAACCAGCGCAACAGCAGTGCCTGGAGGTGGCTTGGATGGACAGAAAGGGACCACTGGTTGCCCCCAAAGCCTGGAGCCAAAACTAAGGCAAAGGAAAAGAAAGACGGAAGCCCCAGAGCAGCCGGGCCCCAGCTTGAGGGCTTCCCCACTGCTTGGAGGGACGCTGGGCCCCCAGTGCAGTTCCGTGCAGCCACACACTCACATGGCTGGCAGGCCTGAGTGGCTCCTTCACCAAGGAGGGGTCTGCAGGGACGCTGCTTGGGGCTCCAGTCCTGCCCCTGACGTGACTGCACCCGAGAAACTCATCCTGGTATGTGGCGCTTGTACAAGGGCGTGCCTGTGTGCACGCAGGGTGCTCGCACGTCTATGTACTTGTTGGGGTGGCAGCCACGTGGGAAGCAGACGGGAACAGATGAAATCATCCTGTTGGAAAAGCCCCATGCGCAAGGGTCAAAGGTCGGCACTGGAGACTTCAACTTCCTGCGAAGTGGGGTCCAGGAATCTGAGCATGGCAGAGCTTTCTGTCTCTGGGGACCACACCAGGCACCCCAGCCAAGGCCACCCCTCAGTCACCACCCCAACCCCAGGGCCAGTGTGATCCAGTGCAGGCACTCTGGGTACCAGGAACAAGGCCCGGCCAGGGGCATCTGGGGCAGGCAGAGGGTGAAGGGCAGTGGCTGGGCCAGGGGCTGGTTCCCCACTTCACACAACAGTCACCCCATCCACGCTGCCTCCTGCCTCCCTCTCCCTGTCCCCATTTCCTCCTGGGGGTCTGTCCATGTCCAGCCTCCGTGCCTTCCAGAAGTGCAGGCTCAGTCCAGGCCAGTGTTGACCACAGTGCGAGTGCGGGTCCAGTCAGGCTGCTCTTGGTTCTTCAAGGAGGGTGTCTAGCCTGCTTGAGCCACAGAGGGCAGGGTAGGAGGTCTGGGGATGGGTGAGGACTGTCCCCCTGCCACACATGCACAGCCACGGCAGAAAGAGGCAGTATGGACCGCCCAGGCAGGCAGTGCTGGCCAGGGAGGCAGAAGCAAGCATCCTTCCTGGTCTCCTGATGCTCCTGGTGGCTCCAGGCATCCCTTGGCTTGCGGCCCCATCGCTCCTGGCTCCATGTCTGTCTCCTAATGGCCTTCTCTCTTGCAAGAACACGTCTCTGGACTTTGGGTGCATTCACATAACCAGGATGACCCCATCTCTAGGTGCTCACCTTTATCCCACCAGCAAGGAGTCTCTTCTCAGGGAAGGACTGCTCCCCAGGTTCTGGGACATGGGGGTGCATTTTTTTGGAGGACACCATTCAACTCACCACACTTTTAAGGTCTGCACTGATTAGTGGTGGCATGGAGCTCTGGGCGTGTGACATGTAAGAGCTACTGGGAGTATCCATGGAGCCCACCCTGCCATACCTGGTGTCATCCCTGGGGGGCTCCCTGCTTCACCCCACTTCACCATAGTGACTGGAGCTGTGTGCAAAGCCGGACACTGCGGTGTCAACCGTAACAGGTACAAGCGTCCTAAAGCCCCACAGCCCTGGTGGCTTCGGGCACAGACACTCACTGCCTCCCAGGCTGAGACCAGTGGCTGGTGGGTGGCATCCTCACACATGCACACCGTCCCCCACCGAGTGTGTCCGCATCCCACCCTGCTCTTCTGGGGACACAGCTGGAGCAGGGTCCACCCTGACAGCCTCACGCTCACTCAGTCTCCTCTTTGAAGACCCCATCTCCAAATCAGGTCACAGCCTGACGTCCACTCCAACACGTGGCCTTGGGGGCTTGCAGCCCACGACAACGACATATAGGGACAGGTGCTGGACACCTCTTGCTGGCTTGAAACTCACACTGTGAAGTGGGCGGACCAAAACGCTTCTGCTTGGCCCGGTGATTGAGACACAAGACTGGTTGAGGACCAGCTGCCCTTTTCAGAGCCTCTGTTCCACCCCGAGCTGGTCCCATGTGACGGCGTGGGTCCTGGCCCATCCTCATGTCTGGTACAGTTCCACTCCTATGCCATGGGCAGACAGCAGCACTTGCAGGTGTGCACATACCCAGGGTCATGGGTGTGGTGCTGCACGCCTGCATTCCCAGCACTTGGGAGGCTGAGGCAGGAGGATCACCATGAGTTTGAGGCCAGCCTGGGGTCCACAGTAAGACCCTGTCTCAACAAAACAAAAAAAGCGGCCGAGGGTGGCCCTGAAAATGCTGTGAACTTGTCAGGCAGTGGGAGGGACTCAGAGAACCCCGGACCTGGCCACACACAGTGAGAAATGTGCGCTTAGGCCAGCCTCAGCCGCGGCCCAGCTCCCGGACAGGAAACTAGGTTGTGCTGGACTTATTTTGAAAGCTGCTCTTTGCACAATGGCTTGGACAAAAAAATCAATTAGCATGTCAACAGAGGACAGGGGCTCGTCATGCTGCGGCCACCAGTGACCAAGGTGACCCAGGTGGCTGGAGCCCATGTGGGTCAAAGGGCATCTGGGAGCAGAGCCCTGGGAGCAGAGCTCTGCCTCCCTCCCAGCCCCCACCTGCTGCTCTGCACGGGCTCCCCAGCCCAGTGGGCAGGGGTGTGGGTGACAGTGGAGGATTTCCGGGCTCCATGAAGGACCCAGGGGCCAGGCTTATGACAGAGAGACCACTGCAGTCAAGGAGGGATTCTGCTGCTCCTTCCTGCTCTCCACTTCCTCCCCTGGATCAGGAAGATGACGGAGGCACAGGCAGCCCAGGCTGGGCACAAAGCATCCCCCAGCACAGGGCCAGCCTAAGCGGTCTGCTCGCCTCCCACCTCCGCCTCCTCTTCTCCAGGAGCAGCACCCCACAGCTGCCGCTTGTCACACCCGCAGCCAGCCGTGCTCCCCTCCACGCCCCCGATGGCTCCTGCTGTGTTTCTGCTTCATGGAGGAGGAAACGGAAGTTCAGAGGGGACCAGGAACTCGCTGATAGCAGAGGGAGGCAAAGCCAGGATTCGCACCCACGTCATCTCCCGCCCGCCCACCAACGGCTTCCGAGTGGCCATCTGTTGCTGGAAACCCTCTGGCAGAGGGATCGGCAGATGACTGGGGGCCGCTTGCTCTCGGGAGTGAAGACACTGCCGGGCCCCTCCTGAGGCGCGTCACTGAGACCTATCCTCCATCCTGTCCCCTGGGCAGGCCAGGCACAGGTGAGTAGTGTGACAATGAGCTCGTGTCCCCCACACTCCGCCGCCCCAGCCCCTCCAGCCCTGGCTGTGCCCTGCTGTCAGCAGAGGGGAGGCTGGGGCTGGGCTCTGTGGGGGTCCTCCAGGAACCGCCTGTGTGCCCTGCGACCCGACCCGGGGCTGGGAGTGAGGCCCAGCTCTCCTTGGCCAGGACCAGGAGCGTCCTCAGCAGAGATGCAGGGATACGGGGTGAGCCTTCCCGCCTAGGGACACCCTCGGAAGGTCCCCACAGGGCTGTGAAGATGCTTCACTGGCTTCGTGGTCTCCCCATGCCTACAGGCTCCTCCATCCCGGGAGGCTCAGCCCAGCCCAGAGGCTGCGCCACCCAGGGCTCTCAGGGTCCCCTTGGGGCTTCTGTGGGGGTGCTTAGCTATGGGGGTGCCATTTCCCAAGTAGCCTTTGGGGTTGCCCGCCCCTAGCTGCCATCTGAGCCCCCTCCCACGGCAAGGACAAGGTGGGAACCCTCGGCCTGGACCTCAGCGAGGCTCAAACCTGTGCTCTGAGCCAGCCTGGCTGTCAGAGCCTCAGCCCAAGCCGAGCTTGTGTGCTAGAGATGATTTAAAAACATGGCAAATGCTTACATTCAAAAAATCCATTACAGTAAAAGACACGATGCCAAAGTCCCTCTGAAAACCTCCCCTCATTCAAACATACTTCTCCCCCCATCCTGGCCGCTTCCTGCAGCAGCTCTGGAGCCCTCTTTCCTGAGAGTCTTTAGTTCCGCTGTCCTGGCTGCCTCCATGTCCTGAACGGATTCAAACGTTACCCTTTCATGGTCATTTTGACTTTCAGGAAGAGCCGGAAGTCACACAGTGCCAAATCCAGTGAAGTTAGGTAGATGCGGACACAGCGTCATATTTTTGACACAAATTGCTGTAGCATTTGATCAGTGAGGGGTGATCATAAAATATGGAGAATATTTAAATTGTTTTAAAAACCTTACTAGAGTGGAAGATGGATTGCTGAGAAGACACATTATGGGATAAGTGTGCTCATCGCAGGGGGAATGTTTCAGAGGGATAATGCGGCAATGTGTCTTGTACTGCAATAAAATTTTTGCCATATCTTTTGATCACCCCTTGTAACCTCCCCATCCACCCTCTGCCCAGGGTCCACCGCATGCCCTACAGATTTCCAGCACATCTGGTTGGAGCAGCTGTGGGAGCCACACAGCCAGTGGCCCCTGTGGGTCCAGGACCCAGGAACCCTCAGGCTTGGAACCTGGCTGGCCTGCCATCCCCACCTGCCATCCCTTCCTGTCTCTCCGCCCCAGGCCCACTAATCACACTCTGAACGCAGCCCTTGCACCTTCGAGGTCCTCGTTGTGTCAGCTGCCTACCCCTGTGCTCACGGCCCTGTACCCTGGCCAGGGGCAAACACTGCTACCCTCTGGGGTTCCTAAGGCCCATCTGCCCCCGTTATGCTCCTCCGCACAGGGCTGCCCTCTCCTCCCCGCCCCAGCCCTAGGCTGAGTGTCAGGGACTGTCCCCCTGCAGGGCAGGAACAGAGCTGCAGCAGCAGCGGGTGACAGGTGACCCCACACACCCAGGCCCTACAAGGGCAGGACCGGGGTCCCCTTTGGAAGAGCAGATGGGGTGGGGTTGTGTAAACCCTGGTGCCCTTCTAAGGGTTTTCTAAGATCCTAGAGAGCAAGCTGGTTCCCTGGAGTGGCATGGGGGTCAGCTGGGAGGGGCAGGAGGCTCCACCGAGTCCCCATAGTGCAGCCTGAGCCCAGGGGATGGAGGAGGCCTGGTTCCAACCAGAGGGTGCAGACACAGGTGAGCAGACAGACATGGGAATACCTCCCGACCCGACCAGCGGGCTCCGGTTCTGGGCATCTTGGCCTCACACCCAGCTCGGGGGTGGACCTCTGAGAGGACCAGGTCTGGCACACCGAGCTCCTGGAGGCCAGCAGAGGTCAGGATGTTCTTGCTCTTGTGTCCAGTGGGTCTCCGGTTGGCACGAGGGCAGAGGACCGTGCCCCCTTCTGTTCTCGTTACTCAGCCGACCTGGGGCCCAGTGGGTGGCATCAGGGGTAAGGAAGGTGCCCTGGGTGGCAGCGGGTGGCCCTGTCAGGGAGTGCGTGCGTCCTCCTTTAGGGCCAGAACCCACGACCACGCACCGGGTCAGCACACGGGCAGCCAGGCCACCAGCAAGGTTGGCGTGGGGCACACAGTGAGGCCCAGGGCACCAGGGTTCGCTGCCCCCCTCAGGAAGGGCCTGCTTTGGTTTATGGGCCATTGTAGACTGACGCCTTTATAAAATAAAACAAAAAGGCGCAACTAGAGAAATGAATACAAGGCCAGTATTTTTATTGTTATATTGGACATTAACCGACCCTGTCCGAGGCCATCAGCACCTGGGAATGCTCTCAGAGACAGCTTCGCTGTGTGTTGTAGTCAGGGTTTTCAAGGGAATCGATTTAATGCAGGACATATAATTTATAGGATCATTTTATAATATTCACCCCAAACGTCAAATGCAGAGGAGTGCAGGAGATCTGTCCTCACCCTAGAGAACCGGAGAACACAGTTGAGGGTCTGGATCCCATGGCAGTGTCCCACACAAGTCAGGCCAGAGGCCTGGAGCCCATGGTGATGTCCAAGGACCAAGGGTAGGAACCAGAAAACCTGCGTCGGCAGGATGAAGGACCTGTGCACCAGGCTGAGGGATCCACGCTGGAGCCAGGAAGCGACGCTCAAGGTAAAGACCAGAGCTCCCCAAGAGAACAGCAGCCATTCCCACAACAGCAAGTGCCTGAGCCCCGATGATGACGAGAACAGCTGAGTTCCCATGAGGAAAACCAGCCGCGGCAAGCTTCTCCAGGAAAATCAGCTGCATGCGATCTTCCCCTGCAGCTCTCCCTTTATGCCGTTGCCAACAGTCCTCAGGTGGGTCTTCCATGCCCAGAACCACCCCGAGTCAGTTCAGCTGGGCGGTCCAAGTCGCCCCTTAATTAACCCACCACACTGCAAATGGTGACAAGTCATTTTCCTGAGTGGCCTGGTCCTTGGCTAGCTGTGGTCAGCATCTGCTGTCAGGGTCCAGCCACGGGGAAGAAGGAGACCAGTGCCTGGTTTGGCTCTGGGGCCTCCTGGGTGGCGGGGGGGCGGGGGGGGCGGGGAGGACACAACTGGGAGGATCTCACTTCGCTGTGGCTTCCAAGGCCTCCTGAGGGTTGCAGCTCTGCCAGAAGTCCTGCTGATAACAGCCCTCTGTGACTCAGTTTCCCCCTCTGTAAAATGTGCTCAGCAGTGGTACCTGTCTTGGAGCGAAAGCTATACTAAGAGCCTGGGAAACGGGTACCAGAGGGTGTGCTTACTTTCTCAGTGACACAGGCCCGCCTGAGCAGCCCCAGATGGGTCCTGGGGCCAGTGTGCGTTTACTGCCTGAGCTGCTCGCAAGCCCCAGGCCCAGTGCGCTGACAGTAGAGAATCCAGGGACTGGGCTTGCCTCTGGCCAGGCTGCCTCCTTTCCAATCAGCCCTTCAGGCTCGGGGCTCCTCCTCGGCTCCATCCCTGGCCCCTGCAGGTGGAAGGCCCCTTCCCCCACTGCCTCAGCCCTGCTCCCTGGGAAAGAACTTCCGCAACTGAGGGAGCATGGAACTGGAAAAGGAGGCTGCCCTGGGGAGCAGCACCTGAGCACAGCTGAGAGCTGCTTGGTGCAGCAGGGAGGGTTGGCCTGGGGTCCCCAGCCTGCCGGCGATGCCTTCTGCTTCTTGCTGACTAGATTCCCTGCTGGGGACATTGCCCAGCCCCTCTGTGGCTGTCTTCACGAGTCCTTGTCAAACCTAGGAAGTGAGTATATCCGTGGGCTCTGTGCTGTCCACCTCCCAGGTCTCCTACAGCTTAATTTTAACTCTAGCTGCAAGTCGGGTACCACTGCTTCCCCAGTTGACAGATACGGAAACTGAGGCTTGGAGAGTCTGGACCTGTGCAAGAACCCCTCCCTCGGTATCCGATCACCCTGAGTGTCGGGGCTCCTCAGCCCCAGGGGACGCTGGCTTTAGCCAGAGGCCCTCACCCCTCGCCTCCCCTGGTGATTCCCCAGCCACAGACCCCGCTCTCTGGCTGTATTCAGAGTTGGGCCTGGCTCTCCTGCTCTTCAAAGCCCACTGCCCGTCCCTACACCCACTGAGAGGCCTGACTCACATCTGCCTTCTGCCCCTAACAAGGTCATCGGCTAATTTCTCTTTAGCACGGTGGCTTCCTCAGATGGAGAGTGGCAGTTACTTTCCCGGGGTCCACGCACGCACGTGACGGTAACACTAAGAATCCCGCGCGCCCGGGCTGTCCCCTGGGCACACATCAGCGTGCAGACGCCGCGGATCCCAGGACACCTGCTGCAGTGTCCCTCAGTGTGAGGTCAGGGGTGAGGGCAGAGGGAACAGGCAGCCAGGCTGGCGGGCACTCGAGGGCAGCCTGTTTTCCTCTGCTGCCTGCTCCTGATCCCCTTTTTAATGCACTTTAATCAATTTTGGTTGATGAGGTTAAGCCTGTTGACTCAGGATCCTGGCAGGAAAGGGACGGCTGCGGCCTGTGTGTGGGGTGGGCACGGCCACAGGGGTGCAGGGGACCCTGGCCTGGGGCAGAGAGTAGCGTCAGAAACCAACCCCGGCAGAAGGGCCCCGGCAGATGCTGAGCGGACATGGCCAGCCGGGGCTTTTGCCGCCAAACCTAGCCTGAAGTCCCAGGCCAGGCCCTGTCCGTGGGGAAGCACGGAGTGGCCAGGGCGGGGCCAGTGCGCACCCCCCACTCACCTCGAGGAGGCGCCCACTGTACCAGCGCCACACACTTCCTGGGGCCTGGAGGGTCGGCATCTCTGCAGCCAGAGTGATTTGCTCTGAGCCCGGGCAGGGGGCCACCGTTGGCTGGGCCCTGGAAGGAGCCCCCCCCCGCCCCACCCAAGGAGCTGGGGAGGCCCTGGATTCTCTTTCCTGCGGCAGCCTTCTGGGAGGGCTTCTGCAGGCCTTCGAGGCACCTGGGTGTTCCTCAGCTTGGGGGAGCCCAGCTTGGCTGTAGGAGAGGGGGGACTGGGTGACACTGGCTGAGCAGGACACCCTGAGCGCCGCAGGGCTCCACCTCCATCCCTGGGGACCCCTCTCCCACGGCTCCCTGGGGGTCAGGAGTCCTGGCCATGCTGCCCACAGGTGGAGCAGGTGGGGCTGAGGTCCGGGGTCCTGGCTAGAGCAAAGGAAGTGAGGACAATGGCAGGTGGCACACAGAGGGGGGAGGGGATCTGTCCTTACGGGGTCCCCACTGCCCTGGTGGGTGGAGCACAGCCCTCCCTGGCCCTCTCTGGGTGTGACTCTGCTGGAGAGCCCCGTGAGGTCTCAGGGGACATTTGAAGGACCCTGCCAGGGAGGTCCAATGGAGGCACTCACCAGAGAGCCAGGTAGGTTCGTTTTAGTTGGGGTCACGATGTAATTCAGGCTGGCCTCAAACCCAAGGTGACCTTCCTGCCTCAGTGTCCCCAGAGCTGGGCCCCCACCTGCAGCAGAATCCCCTCCCTTCATCCCAAGCTTACGGTTGACCATGAGGAGCCTGCCACCCCCTTAGGGATCCTCTGCACCCCAAGCTGGAGCTTGGCCTCTCCGCACCTTTTCTGTATCCGTGCTGCCCACAGGAGCCCTCAAACGTCCTCCCTCTGGCTGGACAATGATGCTTTGTGTATACTTTTACATTTATAAGATTTTTTAGCTTCTGCAAATTAATTTTTTCTTTTCTTTTCTTTTCATTTTTCCTGATACCGGGGATCAAACTCAAGACTTTGCCAATTCGAGGCAGGTGTGGCACCACTGAACAAAATCCCTGGCCCGAGATTAATCTTTTCTGTTTCCATTGGGCCCACTTTACAAAGCCAGTCGGGCAGGGTGAGGTCTTCCTGGGCTCCGTTCCTTCCCCTCTCCCACCGTCCCTCCCCCTTGTCCTGCCTTCCTGTGCACCTCACCTCCCACACGTCGGACTCACCCTCAAAGCCAAGGCCAGTGCTTAGGTCTTAAACCATCCTCACAATGCTTAGCTCTTCATTAAGACCCTGAGTCAAAAGAGAAAGAAAAAAAAAAACACCATGAAATTGCTGAAGTTTGGAAACATAGAATTACTGATGCCCTGGCAGTGGCTCCGGAAACTTCCAAACAACTTTGGGGGATGGAAGGGGACAGGACCAGCATGAGGCGCAGGGCCTGGGGGTCCTGATGTGCAGTGACAGGCCGGGCAGGAGCCCTGAGGTGCCCTGTCTCGGCCGTGCCTGCAGGAGTCTGTGTCCCCCGCCCAGGGCGCTGAGCACTGCCTGTCCCCGCTGTGCCTCCTCCTGGACAGGGGTGGGTACCTGCTTGCTAACCTCCAGCCGCCCTCACCACAGAGACCTCCTGCTTTCTGCAGGAGGAGACCCCTGAGGGTGGCCGCATGGGCACCCTGGCATGCCTGGCAAGGCCACCTGAAGAAGGACTTGGTGACAGCCCTGGACAGTGGGTGGGGCCCCTGCGGACACCTGCGGGTGGCCACCTGTGTGGGGTGGAGGAGGCAGACAGGTGTGAGGTCAGCCCTGGCAGAGCAGAGGTCTTACCCATGCCAGCCCCAGCTGGGAGGGGAGGCCCGGGCCTCACACCAGGCCTGCAGACGTGTGGGACATGTTACTGCTGTGCGTGCCTTGTCCCCTGCCTGCCCCAGCTCTGTGCCCTACACCCCCCAGCGACGCTCTGTCCCCCTCAAGCCATCTCAGCTCCTCACTGCGCTTCCCAGCAAACCACCCTCTCCCAGAGCTCCTGCTCCAAGCCTGAGGGAACTGCTTCCCCTTCCTGGGCTTGGGGCTGATACCCGGAGGCCTCTCAGCCAGCAGCAGTGCTGTCAGCTGGTGGCCTGGGTGGCACTGTCCTGTGTGGGACCCAGAGGCTGCACATGGCTAACTGGCGCAGTCAGGGTCTCCTGGAGCTGGAAGAGACTCCCACTGTCCTGCAAGCAGGGCTCCCGGAGGCAGGGACCGTGTGGTCTGTGTCAGCACATGGGGACATCACCCAAGAGGGACAGCAGCAGGCCCTTCCCGCCAGGTGGGCAACTGTGCCCACGGTGCCACCATGGCCCTGGCTGGAGGCAAAAAGGTCTTGAACCCTCCAGGAAGGGTTCACAGGGCAGGGCGCCCTGGGCCCCTCAAGGCTGGAACCAAGCCCCGGGCTGCAGACGGGCAGTGAGCATGGGCCTGGGCATGGGCACAGGGGTCCAAGGCGTGGGGTCCCAGACCTTCCACAGCCCCAGGGCCACACGAGACAGCATGGCTGGGGCCACACCTGAGGCCCTCCTTCAATTGTGAGCCACAAGTAGAAAGTAATGGTCGGGGCCTCAGAAAGTCCCGGCTCCGCTCTGCCCACCTCGGGTCCCTTGTTGGGCAGTGGAGTCCGCTGTCAGCCGGGTGAGCCCACAGCACCCACAAACCTGGCCGCTGGTGAGGAGGAGAGTTGGCAGAGGACAAAGTGTCACAGTCCAGCAAGAGAGAGAACAAGGAGGATGCTTGGAATTTGGAGAGAGGGAGAGGGAGAGGGAGAGCCCCGCTCCTGCTCCTGCTCTGATCAATCCGGTGCTCTTAGGGGAATGAGCACTTCCCTCCTCAGCCGGCAGCCTCTGCCCATCACACACACACACAGCACACGCGCCCAGAAACCCTCCTGCGAGCAGCACATACATGCATACACAACAGCGCACACGCCAGCCAGACAGGCTTGGGGTGGTGTTTGCGGCACTCTGAGTGAGGTGCAGGGCCCTGTGTTCCCATAGGCTGTCGTACTGAGGTCACAGTTGACGGCCATGACCTCCCCGCAGGGTCAGAGGGGAAGGGCTCCGCTGCCCGTGGGGAGGTTCTGTCAGCTGCCAGCCCCATGGGAGCTGGGGCCCCAGAAGAGCTTCGCACCCTCTTTGCAGCCACATGACTTTGTGGAGATGTAAAGGATCCAGGGCTGCCCGGGTTCAGGGCGAGGGCTGGAACGTTGTACTCAATGGGGCCCGGAGGATTTTTGGGGAGTGGCACAGCTCTGCATGACTGTCACAGGGACTCCTGCCATTGTACATGGATCCAAACCTGGGAGTGCCCAAGCCCAAGCACAAACCTCGCCGACCTCAGACCTGGGTAACGATAATGTGGCAGTGTTTGCTCCTCAATGGTGACCAGCGTCCTACACCGCTCCAGGCTGCCAACACAGAGGCACCACGGGGGAGAGGGCAGCAATGAGGGAATCTGTACTTTTTGTCCATTTTTCTGTAAAATGAAAACTGCTCTAAGACAATAAATTTCTAATTAAAAAAAAGAAAGAAAGAACGAGGAGGAAAGAATCAGGCCAAAGGCTTGGGTGTTTTGGGAACACATCCCCTGCATGGGCCCACCGCAGAGAGGCCAGCGGTGAGCGGCTGGGCTCTGCGCTCCTCAGCCCCAGGCCAGTCAGTGCATCCTGGAGCACCTACCGTGCAAGGCTCCAGGCTGGGCATGGGGCTGCCAGCCAGGCTGGGCCCCGTTTGCTGGCGTTTGCTTTGACAAATCACTGCCGAGCCTGGAGGTGCCAGGCACTTGACTCACTCGGCTCGCAGTGCCCGATCCTCCTGTCGCCGGGCTCCCCCACCATGCCATGGGTTTGGGATTCTTGCTGGATGTCACTTCAGGGCACTGCCAGCTAACAAAGACCATGAATGTACGGCTGAGGCACTGTCATCTGCCACTGGAACTCCTGCCTGGTGTCCTGTGACCACACTGTGCCCCGCACCCACCTGGGTCAGGCCTGGATGCCCACGGAGTGCATGGACAATGACAAAAGTCTCCTCTGGACAACAGCGATGGGGACAAGGAAGCTGCTCCCTGTCATTTGCCCACGGCTTGCTCTTCTGAGTAAACTCAATTTCCTGAGCATATGCACGCGCACTCCCACACTCCAGACGCGCGCGTGCGTGCACACACACACACACACACACACACACACTTCTAAGTCTACACCCCTCATCATTCCTTTCAACAGCTGCTCCTCAGCTAGGATTTCAGGCGAGAATGAGCCTTACAAGAAATGACCAAGGAGGCTGTGTTCTCAGTCCGCCAATTTGCCGGCACCTTTCCAGGTCCAGGGGTGAGGAGGAAACTAAGGGGTGTCTCAGGATATTACCTCACCTTCCGCCTGGAGCCCTGGTAGAAAGGAGCATGCCAGCCCCTCCTCTACTGCAAGCACCAGCGTTTCTCTTGGGTTACCAGAGTGAGCCAGCCGGCTTCCCCTATGGACTCGGCTGAGGCGGTGGAGGGAAGGACCCGTTGTCGATGCTGGCTTAGTGGAGCGCCCTCAGAAGGCCACCCTGTTCTCGGCTTGTGCTGTGATGTCCTCCAAGCTGGCCACACAGGAACTTTCCCAAGGCCAGGGAGCCCCAGGGAGCTGTGTGGTGCCTCAGCAGCCATACCGCTGTCTGCACGGGACCAGACTCCTCATCACCCGGCTTCTGCTACTTCCTCTCCTGGCTCCCACACCCCAGCAGCAGGGACACTCCTTGCACTGGACAGAACTGATCCCGCAGTTTAGCCCATTTTTTAAAAAACCTAGTGAAATACTGATCGCCAGGGGCAGATAACTGGTCAAGAGGAAGAAGGCGGCAACATTCACCATGATGGACATGGGCCATGGAGCAAATCAGGGTGCTCCAAAGGGAGCAACTAGAAATGACTTGCTCCTGATGGAAGGACATAGCACCTATGAGGACATCACAGCATCACATGGATGATGTCACTGCCATCATCGGTGTCACCATCAGCACCTCTGTCGTGATCAACACGATCACCACCATCATCAACATCCTAGCCACACTAGAGACTAATTAAGCCCTGGAATAACCCACAAGTTTACAGGAAACTCAGAGACAGGGACATATTAAAGAACACTACAGAGATGCGGCCAGCAGAATCCAGAGTCCAGGGAATTCTACAGGACCGATGACCAGGGAACAGCAAGTGGAACGGGGGCAGGAGAGGAACAGAAATGAGGGGAGAAGGGAAGGGTCAGAGTTCAAAGGAGACCTTGGAGTGATATTGAGCTGAGGATTTAGTAATCAAACAAACCAGCTGTAAAAAGAGAGGCAGCTGCTGGGAAACTTTAGACAGTGACAATCAGATTATTGAGGAGTTAATTGTTAACATCTTAGGTGTGATAAGGGCATATGGTCATACTTTGTAAAGAATCTGTGATCTCTAAAGCTAACCACGGAAGTGTTTTTCTGCTTTAAAAAACCTAGAGACAGGAGATGGGGGGCAGTTATGGGGGGTTAGGGGATGTTGTGGATTAGCCAAGATTGACTATGCTATTTTGCTCCCTCCACTGTCTTTGATGTTTGATCGAAAAGTTTCAGATACATGGCCAAAAAAGAATGACAAACGTGCACTGTGAGGCTCAGCTTTCCTGTCTTCTGAGTCCAGCCCAGGGCTCAGCACGAGGTGGGAAGTGGGTGCCCCCCACATGCCCCGGGAGAAAGCATAGCTTCTGTCACACTTAGCTTCAAACCTCATCTTCTGGGAATGTGTAGACACCTCTATCTTACAGCCCATGAAGTATTTTGGTGCACTAGTCCTTGTGGCATCATTAAAAACAAATCCATATACAGACACCGGGTCTGTGTGGCCAACACTGTGTTGTTAAAGGGCGGGATGTCACGGAACATGGGGACCACTCTTTTGGGGAACTCTTGCAGTAGAGTAGCACCCAGGGACCTGCCCTCTTGGCCCAAAGCCCTGGTGCCCTGGTGGGCTTTGGGCGCACTGGCCATGCGAGCAGGCAGGCAGCTGCGTCCCCCTGGGTCACACTGGCTTCCTGGATGGCTATGCTTACCTTCCAGGATCCATCATCATTGTCCTGATACTCTTCCAAAAGTGGGCTTCCTGAGAGTTGCTTGTGTGCCCTGAGTCTGGGTGCTGCTTCCCCAACAGGGCAGAAAAGCTGGGGTTGCATTCTGAGGTGTCTGTTTCATAGTTTACACCCATAGCAAGTGGGGTCTAAAGCCCTCAGACACTGTCCAAGCAAACCCCAAAGAGACCGGTGAGGCGCTGGAGTGAGCCTGACGAGGCGCCCTTGCGCACCGTCTCCCCGCCCCCCCCAGGGTCCTGGCCGCTCTGCTCCCCACTCAGATGCATGGGAAAGGTGGATCCCCTTTCTTCCCGCAGCCTGGCTCACATTCCTTGGGGTGGCCCCTGCCTGCAGGGAGGAAGCAGCGTCCCTTTCCCCCCTCTCCTGGAAGATGAGACCCTTGAGCCAGGCACGAGCAAGGACAGCCACGCTGAGCCCCAGCTGCAGGGGCTAAGGGAGGCAGGGATGGGGGCATCGTGGGTCCCAGCACCTCTGACTCATTGGCCAGGTGGACACAGGGCCCAGGCCCTTGCCTGCTGGCCACACTGCTGTCCATGCATCTATCCATTCATCTGTGCGACCGTGGAACCAGAACCACACTCCCTCTGGCGCTGCCCGCCCTGTCCTTTTCCTGCACTCGGCTCAGCTCACTGAGGCTCTCGCCCTGCCCTGGCCTTTGTCTCGCTTCCCCGCTGGCCTGGCTGTTCTAGGCTGTTTTGACTTCTTGGGCTTTTCCTGTGCAGTCTTCCCTGGAGTTATGTAAGGAGCTTTATGGAACTGGCTGGTTCTGCTGGGCGGAGGAGGTCCCCGCAGGGCTGGGCCAGCTCAATGGGATCCCAGCTGTTGGCTGGATCAGCACCCTGCACCCCCAATTCCCACCTAGCTCTGCCCTCAGGCACGGCCCTGGGATGGCAGGACAAGCAGTAGCCTGGGCAGGGGCTGTCCTCCCTCCACTTGACCAGTGATGGAGCTGGGGCCCACAGAAGAGGGACGGCTGGGTCAGAGGCTGAGCTGCAATGACCCTAAGCACTGGGAGGGCACAGGGGTGGCACTCGCCAGGGAAAGAGCAGGTGGCTGCTCAAGGGCCTCAGGGTTGGCAAGCGTGGGGGAGAAGCTGGGCCATCTCTCCAGCTGGCACTTGTTGCTGTCAGGGGCTCGCCGGGACCTGACTACCAGCACACCAGTCCTGGCCAGCGGGAGTCCCCTGGGGTGCAGGTAGCGAAGGCCAACAGGCAGCAGGAGGCCCTGTTGCTTTCACCCAGGCTGAGGGTTTGGGGTCCCGCTGCGGAGTCTTGGGCAAGGTGCAGGAGGCAGAGATTTGGCGTGACACCAGCGAACTGCAGGGTGGTGGCTCCCAGCTGGAGTTGCTCCTGAGCCCCAGGGACCCCAAGAGAGCTCTGTGAGGGAGTGGGGTCCCAGCTCACCACCGTGAGTCCCTGAGCAGCTCCACACACTGGGGACAGATGAGCCCAGCCCAGGGTCCACCAAGTCCCCACCGCGTGTCACCTGGGGTAGCACAGGGCCAGCAGGCCGAGTGTTGGTGTCCCCAGCCGCCCGCCCGCCTGGCCGGCTCTGACGCGTTCGGCTTAGTCTGGGACAGGGCTTCCGCCAGTTCCTGTGCACCAGGAAGCCTGCTTTCCCCTTCCTGAACGTGAGCTGCCTGCCTGTTCCCAAATAGGAATCCTGTGAAACCCTCTGCCGCCCACTGCTGACTTCACCTCGGAGATCCAGGGCAGGAAGCTCCTTCCCCTTGTCCCGCTGGCTGATGAGAGCCAGGAGGAAGCCTCTCTGCCGGGACCGCCTCACGCGTAGCAGGGAGGCCTGGCTTTGCCTGAGTTTCCAGCTGGCCCAGTGCGACCTGTCTCCACCCCCGCAGGCCACTGCTCAGCCTCCTCCGTGACCCTGCGGGGGGCAGAGTCCCTGCATCACAGGAGCCCCTCGCCCGGGGCCCCATTTCTGTGCTTACTCCCAGCCAGCCACAGACCCAAGCTGGCTCTGTAGTGGCCAGCAGCGGGGCCAGTGGATGTGGGCACAGTAGCAACACAGTGACTGCTGAGAGTCAGGAAGAAGCAACACAGGGCCAGAACTTCCAAGTGGAAAAGGCCCAAGTCAGAAGCTGGGCACAGGGTCGCTGGGCACAGAATGGCTGCAAATGTGCCAGCAACATTGTGCAGACTGCTGAGGGAGACGCAGACTAACAATGGAAGAGGCATCTTCACTGTGGAGTGAGCTGTATACAGTTGCCAGGATTCCACCCTCAAAAGGGGATTCCAAATTTCCAAATGGCTCAGCCTCCCATTTCCAGGACAGGGGAGGCCATGCTCAGAAGAAAAAGATTGCGTTCTAATGGTTTATCACAGACATTAAATTCAGCACCCATGGCCCAAAAGATTCCAGGCATCAGATCCCCAAAAGGACAAGGAGGCCAAGGCCACAGCTCACCCAGCCATCTGTCTCCCCAAGAAAGGCCTGCTGCCCTGGCTGGAGCAGTCCAGACACAGCATGGCTCCCGTCCTTATCTGTCCCTGCCCACCAGGCCCCAGGGTCATAGACGGGTCCTAGGAAGTACCTGAAGCCACCCTGCCTGTAACAGGCTGCAGGTTCGCTGATCCCTGCCATAGAGGATGAACTTCAGGATGCATCAGGGGCCAGGTAAAACCTGCTCACTCCAAGGCACAGCACGGGCCCTCAAGGGAGACGGGTGCTTAGTTTTCCAATCCGGGGTCATTTATGCTCTTCTGGAGGGGTGGGAAGCCCCGGAAAAAGGCAACCCCCCCCACCCCTGAGCAGGGCTGGCCCATGCTGCCAGTATGGGCTCAGTTCCGTTTTGTTTAAAGATAGGTGGTTCAAATACTCCCTGGATTCTCTCGACCTGCTCCCTTATCTTAGGCTCAGGCTCCTGATCTTTTCTCTCTCAATTTGGTGGGTTTGAGTGTTTCTAAGGGTCCTGGGCATGCATGATGGGTCTGGAAAGAAAGGAGCCTAAATTAACCAAGGGAAGCTGACATAGACCACCATGGGCCACTTTGACTGGTTGTAGAAGTCGCAGCCTGTTCTTTATTTGAGCCCAGGCTGGCCTTGAACGCTCTGGCGATCCTCCTGCCTCAGCCTCCTAAGTGCTGGATCACAGGTGTGTGCAAACACACCCAGCCTCAGTCTTCTTAAAAGTACAATTTTTACTTATGATTTCCTTGTCTGCTTTCTGCCTGTCTTCTGTTTCTTCCACCCCTCGCACCCTGACCTTAGCTGAGATGGACAGGTGACTCCCCCGAGTCCCCAGGTTGGTGGCCACAGCACAGCTGCCTCTTGCACCTCAGGATGGAGGCCAGGGCACGTGCTCCGGGGCTGGGTGCTGCAGAATGGTGTGGGCTCCTGTGAAACAGGTGTGGGGTCTCGGGGCCTCTGGCCGATGGGCACCCCGGTGTGCTGTGCCCAAGGGTGGGCATCACCCTCCTCCCTGGCCTTGGGTCCTCATTTCTGGATGGATCACTGGGCCCCCCAGGCCCACCCTGGCCTCGGCTTCGGGACTCACTTGCACTGCTTCAGGACGGGGCAGTGGCCGGCCACCGGCGAGCTCTGGGGAGCCCAGGTCGCATCCAGCCCTCTGAAGGAGCAGCGAGGCTTGGGTGAGGTCCAGGGTGCCCTCCTAGGGGGACGGTGGCTTCAAAGGACAGAGGGGAGGTTCCAGCCAGGGGCAGCCGGGAGCCACGCTTGCTTGTTCGGATGGCAGAGCTGAGGGTGCTGCTGCCGATAGCTGCAGAAGAGCCCATGTCACCCCTAGAGGGACAGGAACCTGGGAGCTCAGAGTCCCCATGCTAGGACCACCGTGCGACAACCCCAGGCCGGTGAGGGCACCCTGCATTCCTGGAGTCACTGACCGTGGATTCGCTAACTGACCATTTACCCAAAACTCTGGACCCCTCAGCCTGGTTCGGGCCACTGGACACAGCCGTTGACCAGCAGGTGCCGGACTGGGCCTAGGAATGCGGCTAAACCTCAGCAGGGTCCGGGTGGTCAGAAGAGAAGGGCTGGTGCCATCGGAGGGCGTGTGCCAACTGGCAAAGTGGCGCCACAGAGCGGCAAGAAGGGGAAGGCTTTGGGGACGTGCTCAGTGAGCCAGCTCTGTCCATCCTGCTCTGGGCAAACGGGTTTCTCCAGTCCGTCTAACTCTGAAGACACACTGGAGCGTGCGCTAAGTCCCACAGCCACTCTGCAGCCTGTGTGGCCTCCAGCAGGCGGCTCAGCCTCTCTGTGCCCCGAAAGCGCAGGGAGCACTGCTTACAAATACTCCGGGGGACATGTCCAGGCCCCGCAGGCCTCATGCCTCAGACCTGCAAGAGCGGGGTGCCACTTTAGCCCCCCTCCCAGCTGGCAGCCCCGCCGGGGACCCCGGGCCCAGCACCGCTCCCTCCCCTGTTTCTTGCTCCCTTTGTCTTTTTCCCCCTTCTCCCCTCCCTGCTGCTGAGCCCTGAACTGCACGTGCTGCCCAGGACACTGTCACCGTGCTGCCCAGGACATGAGTCACCGCTGTGCGTGTACACAGGAGCCCCGCATCCGCGGCTACTGTGACCCCGACGGCCTGTCATGTGCTCATAATGGTCTGATCAAGGACAGTGGCGAGTACCAGGTTGGCCCCTTAAGATCACGTCACCTGTATTCCTGTAATTCCAGTATTCTGGGAGGCTGAGACAGGAGAATTACAATTTCGTACCCAGCCTGAGTAATTTAATGACTTAGCGAGACCCTGTCTCAAAATAAAAGATA